GTACAAATGCCCCAATTGAGATGTATTGTCTAATAAGTTTAAAACAATTTAGGTTAATCCTTACCATTTTTGAAAGCTTTTTTCAAATTTAAGTTGTGAATCTAAAACAATACCTAAAAAATTTAACTCATCTATTTCTTCATTATGAACCCGAATTGTTACTTTTTCTTTTTGCTTTCTATTAGAAAAGTACATAACAACATCTAATCTTATATGTGGTTATATAACATCTAATCTTATAAACACATCTAATCTTATATGTGGTTATATAACATCTAATCTTATAAAAACATCTGATCTTATATGTGGTTTTATGCACATTGTAGTGACCAGTAATCTGGTCTTTTCTAATCTTTTTACCGCTCAGTAAAACACACAAACATTGCAGTCCTACTATGCATTTAACTAGGGATATAACACCAAATATAGAACATCATTCGCAAGATGAAAACCCTAATCCACAAGAAACTGTGTGTAACATAAACTGTGACTGACTACAGTTGAGGACTGACGTCACTGCCATTATATGATGAGGTGCCTCACATGATTCAAGTTAGCATTACACTTTTTCCAATGAATAAGAGCCACAGACCCTCTCATCTCCCTCTAATAAGACAAGAGCGCTTGATAATTACAGACAGGTGTGTTGGATCTGAACTCTGCAGGTAGGTAGATCTCCTGGAACAGGACTGGGCACCCCTGTCCTAGACCATTTTCAATCCTGGCCCTGGGGACACACTGCTCTGCACATTTTGTATGTCTCTCTTATCTGACACACTTCAGTTCATGTTCCTTTCACCTAACACGCTGAATATCTGAATCAGGTGTGTTAAATAAGGGAGAAGAACAAAATGTGCACAAAATGGTGGATCCCCAGGTTCAGGGCTGAAACTAATGAGATTAAATGGGGAAGATGTGGGGATTTAAGCACCCACACACTACAAGGTAATCAGGCTGATTTTGGACCCAGTTCTCCCCTTCTGACAATCATGATTATCTTGACGGTTCTACAGATTACCTTATCAGATTTTCCTGTGTATTGTGAGGTGTGTTAAGAGTGATTGAATCTGCTCGGAAGAACGTCAGGGCCACACCAATCTCAAATGGTAAATATCCAGCATATTTACATAAAACGACTAAAGTCACATTTGACTGTGAGAGATTTCGTGAGATTTCCCGTATTCAGTCGGGACTCTGATTGTCTGTGAATGAAATCTGTTAGTGTGTGATGTGCTGTCTTGGTCATATGGAGATTTTAAAACTATTTTACTGTGGGCCAGTCTTTAGACTAGATTCTCATGCTTTTCAGATAAATGGACAACAATGTCAATAAGATTTTGTTCTGATTTAACAATTTAGATTTTTAAAATGAATCTAAAGATGTCTGATTAAGACCAAAGTAAATGAGTTGTGTTACCTTAATACAATATGGTATGTTTTTTTTGTTTTTTTTTAATGTACTGTAGAAGAATTTGGTGGAATCATTATGAATATAAAGTTATTTTAAGCCGCTATTATCTTAACTAAGAAGTAACAAGTAACTTCCCTGATATAAAACACTGGTCTCTGTGACAGCATTAATCTCTGTAAATGGTCAAATTGATTTGATACAGTAAAGTTGTAAGCATAAAGCATGATAGATGACCTTGGGGCTGGTTTAATGCATTTTGAAGGTGTATAATGTTCTCTGCAGCTTGAAGTTGGTTAACACAAAACGTGTTTTTGCATTCCAGTGCGCTGCGTTTGAATTGTTTTGGTATGTAAAAATGCACTAGACTGACATCGTTCGCCATTGTGCAGCCACTCGTGCATGAGCGCCACATTTTTAACACAACATGTCAAAGTAAAAATGTGTTTTGAGACTCTGAAAGACCTATAGGTGTACTTAATTTTAAGCATTCAAGATTGAATGTGTACAGCTTAAATGTGCTTGAAAACAGATGCCAAAAGCTCAACAGGTACAAACACCATGGTTGCACCAAGCGTTGGGGTTGTAGAAAGTGTCTAATGTGTCTAAATCAGTGGATAAGTCAACAGGAAATGAAAGAGAAACGTCTGAGCAATACATATTTCCTTGGACTGTTCTAGAATTTAGAGTACTATTTGCTGATTTTCTCTGTTAGATCTTCACTCACTCACACAGATCTGTCTGTCCTCTCTCCAGTCATGAATTAAAAGTGTAATGTCTCACTGTTCAGTATGTCTCCCTAGCAGCTCATAGCCGTTATTTGGGTTTCTTATGTTTCAGTATAATGCCCATGTGACGTTCCTCAGAGGACTGGATCGTATGGCCCTTCTGTGATGTGAGTAATTACGCCTGAGCTGTGAGAAATGATTATCACCTGGACGCAGATTGCATTTCAGCATCTCGGGTTTCTCGTTTATGAGCAGTTTAACTCCTAATGCCGTTTTTTCCCCCCCTATTTGCTCTCTTTCAGTCTAAAGAATGTCTGAAATCTCGCCCTCTCTTTTTATCAATGCATAGACAGTCTGCTGATCTGTTTTACTGGGTGTTTGGTTACTCTACAAGCCATCCCTAATGCCCTTGAAACATTCCAGGTTTGTAATTTTAAACAAACATTGCTTCGAGAGAGTGAGGGAGAGCAAGAGAGAGGCACAATCCTCTTAGAAAGGGGAGATATATGAGGTTTCCAACAGAAAACACACAGAGAGTTCTTGAGGCGCTGGGCCCTCACCTCTGCAAGTCTCATTAGGCCTGAAAAATGTCACCCTCATTAAAAATGCAATTAGACTTAATTGAGGTCTAAAGTAAAAATAAACGACAGGGTCATGTTTATTATTTTACCCTCACCTCAGACATTTTTTTCAGTCCTCACCAATTTTCTCAATTGGATTTTCTTCTTGAGTGTGTTTTCTTTGTCTGAGTGGCCCTCTCATTTTTAGCACTTTACTGAGAGATTGAATTATTCTTTACCAGCCAAATGAGTGATAGCTTCATCATCTGTAATGTTTGAACACACACACACACACACACACGCACACACACACACACACACACACACTCATACTTGTTTTCCTACCATAAGGGGGTCCACCGTTTTTTGCCTAATTGTGGGGTCCACCATTTCCAGTGGTTCTACAGACTTATAAAAAATCAAGCAAGATAACAAAAATTTCCTAATAAGAAATATCACTTCAATATAACAAAATTCAAACAAAATTGTTTGCACATGCGTTTTTGTGTCACTTGTGGGGCCTGGATTAAACATTTAGGAGTTGTGGGGTCCGCTTTCATAGATACACACACATTTCTCATCTTTATATCTTAGCAAGGACCAAAGTCACTATCTGTAAAACATCAACTACTTCCATTATTTGCCCTTGATTACCATATAAACCTTTATAGATTATAATGTATATCCTCTAAATTAATCTGCACACGTCTATATTAGCTTAGCCATTAACATGGCATAAGCCAAAAGCCAATCCAGAGACTTTTCTAAATCAATGAGCCCTCAAATTTTGGTCACAGCCTGAACTTCTTCAGTCTGCAGGACACCAACTGTACTTTCTCTGCATTGTATTGGTTATTGAATGAACTGTGCGGTTTTGCTGAAGGGGATCTTGTTTGTCCCATGGTTACTTGTCCACTATTTCTAATGAAGTTGTGTTCCTAGCCAGTCATGTTCACTGCAGCTTAAAGATAATATACTCATTTAAATTGAGGACTTCACATGAAAACTCCCTATTCATCTGATGAATAAAGATTAAGACCCAGTGGAATTATAGCACTAATACAGTGAGTAATATTTTACACAAAACACTGGATTAAAAAACAACAACTTTAAAACATGATTCGTCCTCAATGAACATATATTTGGTATTACACAATGTTTATTTTTTTTCAAAAAGAGGTTATACAACATTTTAATAACATTGACCAAAATAAATGTTACAGCAATAAACATGCTATAAGCAACTCAAGGAAACACAATCCAACAGTCTTTTTTTGTTGTTGCTATAAAACACTTAAGACAATTGACTGGATCTAACCCTTTTATATGTTATAGTATAAGACAACAAAGAACTTTAAAGGGTTAGTTCCCCCAAAAATGAGCATTCTGCCTTCATTCACCCACCATCAAGGCATTCTAAACCCATAAGAAACTTGTTCATCTTCAGAACACAACTGAAGATATTTGAATGAAACCTGAGAGATTTCCATCTTTCCATTTAAAAACCGTTCACCCTAAACTTTCAAACTTCAAAACATTCATAAAGAAAAAGTTATCAATGTGACAAATAACAAACAAGAAAATCGCATACGAGGCGAAGAATTATTAGTAACCAGGAAAAATGAGAATAATTGTGTGCGCTGCAGCGATGCAAAGTCCAGTTCACAGTTATTGCATTGGTGGAGAATATGAATAATAGATTGATTAAGTGAGATCAACAATAGCACAAAAACAGGGCAGAGCAATATATAACAAACAAGGAAAAGGGCATACGAGGCAAAGAATCACTATTAACCAGAAAATGTGTATAATTGTGTGTGCTGCATCAATGCAAAGTCCAGTTCACAGTTATTGCAATTGTTGGATAATGTTAAGTGGGTGGATTAAGTGAGAGCGCATTCACATTATAAAACAGGGATTAAACCACATGGATTACTTCTACGTTATAAATGCTCTGAAGCTTGAAAGTTTAGGATGAACAGAGTAGCAATGTGTTTCCTAAGTTTTGTTGAGGTTAGTGCTTTGGGGTGTTTGATGTCATCACATTCATTCACAAACTGCCTAATGCAATCGGAACCCCTCAAATAATGGACAGAGAGAGGCAATGCAAACAATGGAGGGAACAGAAATCTCTCAGGTTTCATTCAAAACATATTTTATGTTCCAAAGATGAACTAATTTCTTATGTGTTTGAAATGACAAAAAAAGAGTAAATGACAACTAACCCTTTAAGAGGATAATACAATGAAAACAACTAAATGTAAACTGTTGAAAACACTTAAAATGTATATCCCGATATAAATGCTAGTGGGAAGGCATCCAATACGTTGAGCTACCTGTATTTCACTGTACTTTCCTTCTTATGGCAGAAATACGATTTTTGATGAAGTATTTGACCGCCTTCCAGTCTCGATTTCCTAACGCTTGAGCTTCTGCATCAACGCAGCGCTGACAGTCCTTTTTCCCTGGAACTTGGCTCCTCACAATGAATTTCCTTAGGTGTCTTTCTACTGCCGCACATTCATCTGTTGTCCAGCTTCTTTTGACAGCAGTTTCTTTACCTAAGTAAACATAAAAAGAACATGTTATTAAGTTTAGGTTAATGTCTTAAGTTCAGGATTTTTAAACCTTAATCTGAACTGAAAGACTATTGTATTGATCACACAGGTCATTCATTGCCATATTGACTTGGTTCAGAGGCTAAAAGTACTCTTAGTTTGTTTCTGAATAAAACATTTGACTAATAATAATAAATCAGTGCAATCCAGTAAAAGGTGTGGTAGCACTTTATTTTGATGGTCCCCTTTAGACATTCTGTTAACGGAGTAACATTGCACCTACATGTCAACTAACTCTCATTACAGCATTAGTAGACCGTCTACTTAAAAGTATTTTATACAATTTTGGCAAATATACTTTGTTGTACGGACATTTTTATTTTAAAAACAAGGCAAAGATACTCGATTTTTACAGTCTCTATCTCATATTTTATGTATTGTCCTGTTAAACACAGCAGTCTCACATCAATGGGAATATGCATATGGAAATGATATGCAGATGAATATATTAAAACTTGTGTAAACGCAAAATCTTCCCTTTGTGCATCCCACACTTTTGATTAAATCCAAGCAAATCGTTATAGAGTTCAATTTTTCTTTTGATCATATAATGAAAATGTTTAACCCCAAAATTCTGTCATCATTTACTCACCATAATGTTGTTCCAACCCTGTATGAGTTTCTTTCTTCTGCTGAACATTTTAAAGAATGTGGGTAACCAGAGAGTTGACGGCACCAATGACGTTCATAGTAGGAAAAAAAATACTATAGAAGTCATTGGTGACATCAACTGTCTGGTTACCCAGATTCTTTAAAATGTCTTCTGTGTTCAGCAGAAGAAACAAACTCATTCAGGTTTGAGGTTGTAAATCAACTATAATCAGAATATTAGACTGTGTAAACAAAACCTATTGTGACAGCTATCAATGTGCAGTGATCAAAAGTAAAGATTTGATAAAATAATATAATTCAGAATAAAGCTTTCTGTCTTCAAGACGAACGGGACAAATCAATCCACTTAACATTTCTAAGCTCACCTCTCTTTTTTGCCGACTTTCTCTGGTATTGGGAATGCAGCGTGGAAGTAGGTTCTTGTGTGGATGTAGGTTCTTGTGTGGATGTAGGTTCTTGTGTGGATGTAGGTTCTTGTGTGGATGTAGGTTCTTGTGTGGATGTAGGTTCTTGTGTGGATGCCACACTGTCCTCAACTTCAGGCTCCTGTACGTCTGGAATAAAGTCATCTGAGTGCAAAAAAAAGTTTGAGGAAAAATACAAATCAAAATATAAACTAAGGATCAATTATGCATAAAATTTGTGTCATGGTGACATAAAAAGCAATGATCAACAGTACAAGTTTATAAATATTCAGTATATGGCACGAGTCTTGCAGATATGTATTGTGAAAAGCGCTATACATAAACAAATCGAGTTGAACAACAAATTACACATGGTTTCCATAATTCTACAATACAGTGGTAGAGAGAGCCGGTTTAAATTAGACTTGCATTCACACTGGGAGCACAATTTAAATGTATGCCCTTGGCAGATACTTTCTCCCCAAAGCAACTTACAGAACACATTACAGTGGCAATAGCCCTGGAGCAATGGGATGAATCATCTTGCTAAAGGACACAATTCTTGTGGAGATCAACTACCTTTGGATAACTATACCTGTGGTGTAGCTTACTGTGCCACACAATCAACTGGAAACAATGTCAAACATTACCCACATGCAACAGGCAGCATGTCAAAAACATGTCAACTATTAATTTAAACTGAAAGGTTATATTAATGCAACATCCAAATATGTGCAATCCTGTAATGATTGTGCAATAACATCTACATTTAATTGTCTAATTTAAATGAGAGATCTTTCATAACCAATTTTTTTTAAATCATACAAACATACCTTCCTCTTGTGAACACCCATCCATGTCAACAGTCTCTAAAACAGCAAGTAATACAATATGAATGAGCTGTAAACCTGAAACTGCAATCAATCTGTCAAGAGTATACAAAATGGCTACATAAATAGCTGAATAGACAAAAATTATCAAGTTAGTCACATTATAACAATAAAACCTGCCCTCTTCTTCAGTATGTTGAGGTCAAATACTTCAACTCTGTTATAATCAATTCTATTCTTTTACTTATCAAATACTATCTGCTATTCTAAAAGAGAACGATTTATAGATGGACAATGCTGTGCTTTTTAACTTTCCTTAAAGGGATACTTCACCGTTTTTTCATATTAAACTATGTTATTCCCTTAACCAAGACACTTGCTTGACCCCAAAGGAGTTTAATAAATCTGTAAACGCAGCCCCTAACACATCATTTGAATTATCTACGTGTATGTTAAAATCTCCAACAATTAATGCTTTATCGACGTTGACCAATAGATCTGAGAGAAAATCTGCAAACTCTTTTAGGAAATCAGCGCAAGGCCCTGGCTAGAGATAATAGGGATTTTTTTCTTATATCTGAGAGCGTAACATTTAATACAAGTACTTCAAACGAATTAAACTTGTCACGTTCAGACGCGACGTAGGTGTGCTAGTGATAAGTGCTAGTGACAGTTACACAAGTAGTATAACTACTCGTGTAACTTTTTAAATAGGGAAAACATTGATGTGTTTGGTCACTTCTAAATTCATTGCTGTTAGATACCATTGAATATACTGGGCTAAGCTAAGTGCTATCAAAGTGTCATGGCGCGCCAGAGCGATTAAGTGCACGCACTGAGATGAAAGAGGTATGTATCAACTCGTCTTAGTTAAGGGAATAACAGTTTAATATGAAAAAACGGTGGAGTATCCCTTTAATAATAAAAAAAGACTTAATACCAGTCACATCAAGCTGAATTTCATCCAGATTCTTCCCCTTGTATTCTCCTAGCCGTCCCTGTTCCAGCGCTAGAAGAACTTTGCTTATTTTAGCAAGCTGGAGGGTGCCCTCTGGAAGGCGGTAGTGCTTTCTGTGGACCTCAATGTTATGCCCAAGGAAATCTGCCAATTGGTCAAGTTCTGTAGTCTTGAGATTCAGAACAGTCGACAGAGTAGCAATGTGTTTCCTAAGTTTTGTTGAGGTTAGTGCTTTGGGGTGTTTGATGTCATCACATTCGTTCACAAACTGCCTAATGCAATCGGAACCCCTCAAATAATGGACAGAGAGAGGCAATGCAAACAAGTATCCGTTTTCACTCAGTACTCCACATTCTTCTCGCTTTTCAGTCAGAGTATCGAGCGATTCTCTCATGACCGGGGTCAGGAGAACAGGGACTTTCCTTCCTCTCTTTCCTACTATGGCAATCCGAACAAAATGTTTGCAAAGCTTCTGCTCAAGTGCTGTAAGGGCTAGGTTAACATCTTCGTGTGTCTCTGATGTATCCTTTGACAGGAACGCCGACAAGGACATTCGGGATACTTCTCCTGCTCTTCGTCGGTTGAAGAGGATAACTTGCGCCAGGGTCACTTTAGCAAGGTCCTTCCAGTTCAAGGGAGAAGGCTCTTCTTGCAGGGCATTCAATTGCTTCTGCTGTTTCTCAGACAAATAGAAATGAAGTCTGTGGACATCTTGTGTGAATGGTAGAATCTGAGGAGAATTCCACTTTGTCTGGTTAAGCTGAGTTAGCGCTTGGCTTGCAATGTCAAATTTCCAACTTTCTTGGTATAGCAGTGCAAATTCCTCAGCATCTTTGGTAGTCTGTGTATCTTTCATCTTCAATCCTTCAGATTTGATAAACATGGCTAAAGCATGCAAGCCATGTCCAACTTTGCGAGCAAGAGACGGACGTTTATATTTGCCAGTTTCACCATTGAATCCAGCAAGGCATCTTGCAGCCGAGACAACATGGGTGTACTTTTCAGGCTTTATGAGTTCTTTGATTGTCTTCACATGTGTCAACTTTTTTGCTTCCAGTAACAGTCTGCCAAGCTCTCTCAGTTTTTGTCGAATATATTGGTGCTGGCTTATTACATACTCATTCTTTCTGAACTGTCTGTAACCATACTCAAGAATGCAGCGGTCTTCCTTAATAGCAACTGCAACCTCATCCTGATTCATACCACTTAAGAACTTCCAGTACGCGTCGCTAAATCCAATTGGAGCAGGTTCAGCAAATGCACACAAAGCTTGAACTCTTGTTTTACCTCGTTTAGATGTCTTACCCTGAGGCTTGAAATTACAGACCTGAAAATGACGCCACATCACTCTTTTTCGGAACATTCCATAGCAATAAACACAGTGCATGAATTCTTGTCCATCTGTCATTTTCTTTGGCTGCTTCCATGGGATGAGTTTGCCTTTGCGACTCTCCAAAACTTGAGTGTTGTGTTCAAAGTTACCCTTGTTTCGGATAAAATCCAACTGTCGTCGCCTTTCTTTTGAATTCTTTGGCAAGCTTAATGCCTTTGCGACCTCAACCACATCGCTGTGTCTACGCGACAAGTGTCTTGACATTTTCTGAACTACCTGTCCACAATACAAGCAGTGATGTTTTTTATTATATCTTCTGGAACCATCCTCCTTCTTTAAAACTGGATTAACAAAGATCGATGGCTCTTCTTCAGGTGTCATTGAAACACTCGTCTCCTTGTGTTTTCCTTCTAGGCTATCAGGAAATCTTTGTACCGAGTCATGACTTGTTTCAAATCTTCTGCTCTGACTGGACTTAAATCGACTCTGACTTGAAGACTCACTTTTGTTCTGACTGGACTTAAATCGGCTCTGACTTGAAGACTTGTTTCTGCACTGACTAATGGATGACATTTTGACATTCTTCCTTTTATTTTCCAGGGATAACTCCAAGCTGCAGTCACTGTCATTGCTTTCCTCCCTGGGATTTGGAATATACTCATCTTCACTATCGCAACATGAGTCATCGGATTCTACAAGACTCCTTTGAATCTTTCAAAAAAAAAAAAGTTAAAAAGGATTAGTCCCCCCAAAAAAGACAAAAAAAAAATTAGCTCACCTTCATCCCAGATATGCATGACTATTGTTCAGTGACCTTTCATAACATGACTGAAATAAATACACAACTCGTTTTGATCAGCAGTTATGGACTACTGTAAGAAACGTCTTTAACATGGATTTATAAAACAGAGCGCTTTCTTTCAATTGTATCGACATGGATTATCATTAATCAAGTCTTGAAAATGTTGGTTACCATCGGCTTCCATTCCATGTCTCAATATCTAAAAGTTTATTTTCTTAAACTACTCATGTGAGCAATAAAGGTCATGCACATCTGGAATGGGATAGAGTAATTTGAGAATTCTTACATTTTAATCCTTTAGTATGATAAACTGACCATTGCATATTGGGATGACATACATTCTATAGGGGCGTTAAGTAAAATGTAGATTAAGTTTAATCCAAGTAAATGAAATTAGAAACGTACTGTTGATAACGATTAGACCAAGAGCCTAAAAACAAGAGAATATAGAGAAAAGCATAAAAGGGCACACCCCTATCAATATTATTTGGAGAAACAATTGACTGGCATCAGGTAGGGATGCTCCGATACCACTTTTTTCAGAACCGATCCGATACCAAAAATTCAAAGTATCGATCGATACTGATGCCGATCCGATACCAACACAGTTTTTTTTAAATCAAGTAGAATTTATGTAACTCTTTGTGTGTTGAACTCTGATAAGCACTCTTTTGTGTGTTAAACACAATCTACTTAATACAGACAACTTCATTATAAAGAAAAACTAATTCAAAAAATATATGATCATAATCTATGACAAAAATGCTATTATAAACTAGATTAGTGGATAATTCAGCAATAAAATTTAGTCTAGAAAAATCACGAGTCGACAATAATTGTATAAAATCTGAACATTTAGTGAAAAAAACAAATAAGAGACAATAAATGTAACACTAAATCTGGTAAAACGTTACACATTGCTCTTTGTATTGTTGTAAAATACATTCATGAAAAACAAGATAAAAATCAAAAAGATAAATTATTTTATAGCTATAGGCTACTATAAAATTGAGACATGTTTTAAATGTATAGCACTGCTGTTTAATGAGGCAGCAACATATGATAGATAGAACAAGAAAGGCTATTAATAATCTTTCATTGCGTCACTGTATTATGATTATGAAAGGCTGCAATACAGTGCGGCACAAAGCGCTTATGCGCATCCCGAGCGCAGAATGATGCGCTTGAAGCAACACGGAATCGCGCGTCGAGTCCGCATTGAAAAGTTCAAAGCACAAACGAAAGACATATCGCATAGTGTATTATACAGTATCTATCTATGCAATAGTTTATTAAACTTTTTCTTTTAACAGTTTTAAATTTTAGTTACTGTGCGTGTGAAGAACAATTATAGTGCAGCTGACTCCAGTGTTGTGATCTAACAGACACCCGGCCGGTAGAAAGTAACAGGATTAAGTTACAGCAATAAAGTCTAGCAAGATAAAGTTGTTTTATGCGAAACCATAGAGCTTTATCTACAGATCAAGTATAATAAGAGTAACATTGAATCATCTTGGAGAGGGTTTCATCATGTTGACTGACTCGTAACCGAAGGCGACGCGCTGTTTGAATGCTGAATGGAGAATGAATGACAGCCGCAGCGGAGGGAAAAGTTTACGTGATTTTGAATTTAATGACTTAAATGTTCATTTCTATCTCACATTATACTATAATGGCTTAAGAACACTTGTAATATAGTACACGAAAACTTTATGGTGCTTTATAATGTTTTTGTGCCTTTTGTGGGGCTTAACAATAACACAGAATAGTAGGCTATACGCACAATATCGGATTTGGATCGGCCTCGTCTGACCGATACCCCATCCGGCAAAAATGGCAGTATCGGACCCGATACCCGATACGAATATCGGATCGGAGCATCCCTAGCATCAGGTAAATGAGTGAAATAACTAAAGTTACTAGTACTATAGTTTGACTATAAACTATTTAAGGCTCAAGTTTCTGGAGATGTGCATTTGACTCCTCTCTAGTCGCATCACAGGCTATAAAAATATTTTTAAAAAATGTATTTTATTAATGTTTACCTTTATCGTTACACAAAGCTGTTAGATCGAGTTCCAATATGAACAAAGTTTTCCCTTATTACGTGAGGAGAGTAAAGGCCCCGATATACTCACGGCGAAGTTCTTGTATTTCGCTTGGGGGTAAAATTGTTTTGAAGTACATGATCAGCGGTATGTCGTTAAACATCTGACGCCGCCCACACTGCGTTAGTTAGCACTAACCATTAAGTGATATAATGTATGAAAAAATTAGGCTTACAGGGCGGTGACAGTTTCTCCTCGGCCTTTGTGAAGCCATTTCAGACATAGAAGTGGAAGGCTCATCCATGCTGTCATCACTTGACTCATTAAGAGGAACAGAAAAATCTGGTACTCTATCCATCTGCAAAAAGGGAATTATGTCATGTATGATTATGCATTTTTGTTCACATTCTATGGAAATCTAATACAGGGGAAATATTTTGGTAGAAATGTGCCCAGAGTGTCAGAGACATTCCAAAATATTTTTTGGAACAACTTCATTGTCTGACTGCAGACTAGAATCCTCATCAGTTTCATCTATTATACTCTCATTTGAGTCAATCAGAGGATCAGAAAAATCAGCTACTCCAACCACCTGCAAAAAAGGAGTTTCAATTTCAAGATGTAATACATTTTGGCTTACATTCTATTAAAATTAGTCACGGGGAAGTACGTTTGAACCATTTATAGAAACAGCAGCATTTTAAAGTACAGTATCTGAAGCATACCTGAATGTTTCCATTCCTCGTCTTCTTTCGAACAACATCACAGTGTGGAGTTGGAGGGTTGTCTTTAATATACTCATCCGTCTCATCACTTTCGGGATAGTTCACTAGGGAAAACCCTTTGATGGTAAATACCTAAATATAATTAAACAAAATAAATACACATTAAGAGTTAATATTAGCACAAACATGTGGACACGCTACTAATAATAGAAAACATATCTAGTAGGGGTGGAACGGTACACAGAAGTCACGGTTCGGTTCATACCTCGGTTCAGACATCACGGTTCGGTACGATTTCGGTACAATGGAGGGAAAAAGCAAAACAAAAATGCAGAAGGCATTGTATTTTTTAAATAAGTTTTATTAATAAAGGCATAGAACCAGTTTATTTGTAGTGCACTGACAATAGTTTTATATAATTAGTTTATTAATTAAATTAATAAAAAGACAAAAAGACCTTGCGATATGTTTGGTAATTGTACTATTCATTTAAAATTATTTTGCTATATTTCAGATCAATATATTTGTTTTCCTTAATTTTAATTAACATTATTAATTGGCAATGTAACATTATTCTCATCTGAATTATAAATAATTGATTTCTGTATAAAATAATACTACCATTAAAAACACATTCGATTTTCTTTTTTAATCAATGTAGAATGTGTAAGATTAGTGCTCCGAGGAGAAGAAATGGAAACCAATGCAATATGATGAATGTCCAAAAGACAGACTGTTTTGAAATGGAGTTGGATAAATATGTTTTGCTTTTAAAACAGTGTGTATGTGATTTTGGTTGGGTGACAGTTGTAGGTTATAGTTAGGTTGTAGGCCTCTCTCTCTCTCGCACACACACACACTCCAGCATTGCAATCTTGACATCGCAGCCTGTTCATTATGCGGTCACGGTCACACCAAACGCGAATAGAGCTTCAAATTCGCGTCTAGTTCGACGCTAGTCCAAAGCGAATAGGACGCGCGTAGCCAACGTTTGAAGTGAACGCGCATTCAGAGCTAAGCCGATGGTACAGATTATATGTCCCTAAAGAACCCGCGTATCTAACAGTAGTTCCACATTACATTAATTAATTTGCACGCGAGTTTTATTTATTTTTATACCGTGTATTCTCCGTGTAAATTCGTGCACCGAACCGTGACGCCCGTACCGTTTCGGTTCGATACGAATACATGAACCGTTCCACCCCTAATATCTAGGTATGGTACATCTAGGTGTATCTAGGTTGACATTGGAGCGAGCATTTGAGGGGAGCCCCCCATAAAGCCAAGACTAGAAATGTGTGTGTGTGAGGGCCCCATAAAGCCAAGACTAGAAATGTGTGTGTGTGTGGGCCCCATAAGGCCTAGACTAGAAATGTGTGTGTTTGAGCTTAACTGAATTCATTCGTTTGAGGGGAGGGCCCCATAAAGCCTAGACTAGAAATGTGTGTGTGGGCCCCATAAAGCCTAGGCTAGAAATGTGTGTGTGGGCCCCATAAAGCCTAGACTAGAAATGTGTGTGTGTGAGCACTTGACATGCGCAACGAGGGCGAGACTAGAATAGATTGTGATGACAGAGTCGACGTTACTCCTTTACCTGTGTGACGACAGCATCTTTGTTGGAGTCATCATGGGAAGAGTGATCTGTTAGGGATGTTTTGGTCTCTAGAACAGAAGTCTGCTGCTTTGGCTCCTGGAAATCAGACAAAAAAACATACACTCATCTTTTCTAGAGGTAACAGCAACAAATAAGATGTTGCAATGCATTACATCCAAAATACTCATTCTGAACATGCAGCAGCTTGAGAAGTGTTGAATTACACCTGCAATTACACTACTTTAAATATTGACAGGTGTTGTACCAATGATGTAAAATCCCTAAGAGTGAGATCCATACGTGAGGGCCCCATAAAGCCTAGACTAGAAATGTGTGTGTGTGTGGGCCCCATAAGGCCTAGGCTAGAAATGTGTGTGTGTTTGAGCTTAACTGTGAATTCATTCGTTTGAGGGGAGGGCCCCATAAAGCCAAGACTAGAAATGTGTGTGTGGGCCCCATAAGGCCTAGACTAGAAATGTGTGTGTGTGAGCGCTTGACATGCGCAACGAGGGCGAGACTAGAATAGATTGTGATGACAGAGTCGACGTTACTCCTTTACCTGTGTGACGACAGCATCTTTGTTGGAGTCATCATGGGAAGAGTGATCTGTTAGGGATGTTTTGGTCTCTAGAACAGAAGTCTGCTGCTTTGGCTCCTGGAAATCAGACAAAAAACAACAGAAACCAAAGTTAACAAAAGTTAGCTCATGTGAAAACAGTTTCTCATCTAGCACAGCTGAAATATAAGAGCATACACTCATCTTTTCTAGAGGTAACAGCAACAAATAAGATGTTGCAATGCATTACATCCAAAATACTCATTCTGAACATGCAGCAGCTTGAGAAGTGTTGAATTACACCTGCAATTACACTACTTTAAATATTGACAGGTGTTGTACCAATGATGTAAAATCCCTAAGAGTGAGATCCATACGTGAGGGCCCCATAAAGCCTAGACTAGAAATGTGTGTGTGTGTGTGGGCCCCATAAGGCCTAGGCTAGAAATGTGTGTGTGTTTGAGCTTAACTGTGAATTCATTCGTTTGAGGGGAGGGCCCCATAAAGCCTAGACTAGAAATGTGTGTGTGGGCCCCATAAGGCCTAGACTAGAAATGTGTGTGTGTGAGCGCTTGACATGCAGCATGAGGGCAAGTCTAGAATAGATTGTGATGACAGAGTCGACGTTACTCCTTTACCTGTGTGACGACAGCATCTTTGTTGGAGTCATCATGGGAAGAGTGATCTGTTAGGGATGTTTTGGTCTCTAGAACAGAAGTCTGCTGCTTTGGCTCCTGGAAATCAGACAAAAAAACAACAGAAACCAAAGTTAACAAAAGTTAGCTCATGTGAAAACAGTTTCTCATCTAGCACAGCTGAAATATAAGAGCATACACTCATCTTTTCTAGAGGTAACAGCAACAAATAAGATGTTGCAATGCATTACATCCAAAATACTCATTCTGAACATGCAGCAGCTTGAGAAGTGTTGAATTACACCTGCAATTACACTACTTTAAATATTGACAGGTGTTGTACCAATGATGTAAAATCCCTAAGAGTGAGATCCATACGTGAGGGCCCCATAAAGCCTAGACTAGAAATGTGTGTGTGTGTGGGCCCCATAAGGCCTAGGCTAGAAATGTGTGTGTGTTTGAGCTTAACTGTGAATTCATTCGTTTGAGGGGAGGGCCCCATAAAGCCAAGACTAGAAATGTGTGTGTGGGCCCCATAAGGCCTAGACTAGAAATGTGTGTGTGTGAGCGCTTGACATGCAGCATGAGGGCAAGTCTAGAATAGATTGTGATGACAGAGTCGACGTTACTCCTTTACCTGTGTGACGACAGCATCTTTGTTGGAGTCATCATGGGAAGAGTGATCTGTTAGGGATGTTTTGGTCTCTAGAACAGAAGTCTGCTGCTTTGGCTCCTGGAAATCAGACAAAAAAACAACAGAAACCAAAGTTAACAAAAGTTAGCTCATGTGAAAACAGTTTCTCATCTAGCACAGCTGAAATATAAGAGCATACACTCATCTTTTCTAGAGGTAACAGCAACAAATAAGATGTTGCAATGCATTACATCCAAAATACTCATTCTGAACATGCAGCAGCTTGAGAAGTGTTGAATTACACCTGCAATTACACTACTTTAAATATTGACAGGTGTTGTACCAATGATGTAAAATCCCTAAGAGTGAGATCCATACGTGAGGGCCCCATAAAGCCTAGACTAGAAATGTGTGTGTGTGTGGGCCCCATAAGGCCTAGGCTAGAAATGTGTGTGTGTTTGAGCTTAACTGTGAATTCATTCGTTTGAGGGGAGGGCCCCATAAAGCCAAGACTAGAAATGTGTGTGTGGGCCCCATAAGGCCTAGACTAGAAATGTGTGTGTGTGAGCGCTTGACATGCGCAACGAGGGCGAGACTAGAATAGATTGTGATGACAGAGTCGACGTTACTCCCTTTACCTGTGTGACGACAGCATCTTTGTTGGAGTCATCATGGGAAGAGTGATCTGTTAGGGATGTTTTGGTCTCTAGAACAGAAGTCTGCTGCTTTGGCTCCTGGAAATCAGACAAAAAACAACAGAAACCAAAGTTAACAAAAGTTAGCTCATGTGAAAACAGTTTCTCATCTAGCACAGCTGAAATATAAGAGCATACACTCATCTTTTCTAGAGGTAACAGCAAGTGTCACAGCAACAAATAAGATGTTGCAATGCATTACATCCAAAATACTCATTCTGAATATGCAGCAGCTTGAGAAGTGTTGAATTACACCTGCAATTACACTACTTTAAATATTGACAGGTGTTGTACCAATGATGTAAAATCCCTAAGAGTGAGATCCATACGTGAGGGCCCCATAAAGCCTAGACTAGAAATGTGTGTGTGTGTGGGCCCCATAAGGCCTAGGCTAGAAATGTGTGTGTGTTTGAGCTTAACTGTGAATTCATTCGTTTGAGGGGAGGGCCCCATAAAGCCTAGACTAGAAATGTGTGTGTGGGCCCCATAAGGCCTAGAGTAGAAATGTGTGTGTGTGAGCGCTTGACATGCAGCATGAGGGCAAGTCTAGAATAGATTGTGATGACAGAGTCGACGTTACTCCTTTACCTGTGTGACGACAGCATCTTTGTTGGAGTCATCATGGGAAGAGTGATCTGTTAGGGATGTTTTGGTCTCTAGAACAGAAGTCTGCTGCTTTGGCTCCTGGAAATCAGACAAAAAACAACAGAAACCAAAGTTAACAAAAGTTAGCTCATGTGAAAACAGTTTCTCATCTAGCACAGCTGAAATATAAGAGCATACACTCATCTTTTCTAGAGGTAACAGCAACAAATAAGATGTTGCAATGCATTACATCCAAAATACTCATTCTGAACATGCAGCAGCTTGAGAAGTGTTGAATTACACCTGCAATTACACTACTTTAAATATTGACAGGTGTTGTACCAATGATGTAAAATCCCTAAGAGTGAGATCCATACGTGAGGGCCCCATAAAGCCTAGACTAGAAATGTGTGTGTGTGTGTGGGCCCCATAAGGCCTAGGCTAGAAATGTGTGTGTGTTTGAGCTTAACTGTGAATTCATTCGTTTGAGGGGAGGGCCCCATAAAGCCTAGACTAGAAATGTGTGTGTGGGCCCCATAAGGCCTAGACTAGAAATGTGTGTGTGTGAGCGCTTGACATGCAGCATGAGGGCAAGTCTAGAATAGATTGTGATGACAGAGTCGACGTTACTCCTTTACCTGTGTGACGACAGCATCTTTGTTGGAGTCATCATGGGAAGAGTGATCTGTTAGGGATGTTTTGGTCTCTAGAACAGAAGTCTGCTGCTTTGGCCCCTGGAAATCATACAAAAAGTTCTAAGAAACAGATCATGCATATGAGATCACATAGCTATGCATAGATAATCAGGTTAATATACGATTTATAATGAAATACATATTGTAGAAAACAGATGTAGCTGTGCTATTCAGCACTTAAAAAAAAATAATTAAAATCAGTATAGCTAATATAACCAACTCACCTTTTTACGCCATGGCCATTGTGAATCACCATAGTTGTATTCGATTTCACTTCCTATTTCAATTTTCTTCACAGCAAATAGACACAAATGTGGCCTGTCGTTTACTACGATTTTTTTCATGGTGCAGTTTGGAGATTTGTGATTGTCATTAATCAATCTTCCAAGGGAGCGGTCTTCTTTGGATGCATCAATACTAAAATAAATAAGAAACCCACCCTTTAGTTGTTGAACTACAATACCAAATTTCACCACCCATAAAATGATTGACAGCAGGGGGACTTCAAGACTTATCATTGGAATTAACTGCTGCGGTTCACCAGCCATGTGCGATTAAAAGATTGGTCCTGCTGTTGTTCATTCATCAGCTACTCAATAATGTGTGTTACATGTCTTCATTAGAATTTTCAACATCTCTACAAAACATGCGTGTTTCCATGCTCACCACCAGTGACGCTTCTGCCACTCAAATTCAAACAGAAATGTGCTCTGTAACTCAGTGTAGTCTCTTGCCCGGCATTCTTCTGCTGAAATGAGTTCACCCCTGTACTCCAAAACAAAAGCTCCGGCTTCCACAGGCTGGGTAGTAAACACTCCTCTTCCTATGAGGACAAACAATTAAAAATACATTTAACTGGAAGAAAAATGTGTTGTCTTAACCCTTCACATACAGATGTGGTATAACTAGTGTTGTCAAAAATATCGATACTGAAATATCTGAACGGTACCAATACTAATTTCGAGTGTGTGCGCACAGAGGGCTACCCGTCATGGTTCATTGCAATTTAGCTTTTTAAATAGCATAGCATTTATTTACACAAATACATAATAAATTACATTTTGATGTTTGAAAGCATTTTTTTTACAGTCTATGTTTGAAAGTCTCTAGGTTTACACCGCCACGCGCATGCCCAGTGTTGGTGAATGGTCACGTGATCCACGTTTTCAGTCGTTTTAATGTGGCCCGAGATCAATTCTAATATGCAGCTAAAACGCTGGTTTGGACTGAGATCGTATTCGTTTTAATTCTCCCTTTCTAAACTAAAACGCAGTAGTGTGGATGGGGTCTGTG